CCCCAGGGCCGGGCGGCGCCTCACCTGCGGCCGGGCGGCCGGGCCGGGGACCGCGGGCTTCGTGAGGGCGCCTCTCGGCCGCCGCGGGGAGCCCGGGCCCCGGCGCGGCGGGCGCCTGCCCGGTGGGGGCGCTGACAGACGCGCGGAGGGCGGGGGAGGCTGGGGAGGTGTCACTGGCTTGTCGCGGTGGAAGTGCTCGGAAAGTTTGTTTTCGGCGCGCCGCGGCCTGGAGCTGAGCCTCCGGGGTTACCTTTCATTCCGTCTGCGGAGGAACCATCCTGGGCCTTCACCTGGAACGGGGTCCCAGTGCCTCTGCCGCAGGGAAGCGGGAGGGACGAGTTCTTGTTCACAGCACCTGATGCTCCAGGCTCCCCCCAAATTCACGGTTAGGGTGGAATCTGGTAGACTCCTTTCCCGGCCCGGCGGAGCGGCATTGGGTGCTTTTCCTGCCTTGGGGCTCTTTTCCAGCACTGGTTTCAAGTGTGGGAAGCCCCAGGGAGGTCGAACTTGAACCTGCTACCGAGGGGAGAGTGATCGTGACCCCGAGGAGGGATTGCAGGGGAAAAGAAAAAGGAAAGCACTTGTTGGGTGAAATGTTTTGCTTAAAAGTATCGTTAGTGTTTCCATGTTTTTTTTTTTCCTGTTGTTAAAAGTATCCTTGGCGTTTTGATGTTTTCCCCGTGTTTGAGTTTTGAAGTCGCAAAGGTGGTTTCAGGATTTATACCTTGGGCGCGACTATGAAAGTGGGTGATGGAAGAATGTCAACACAGCTTGCAAAATTTGGTTCAAAAGGCAAATCAAAATCACTTAAGTGAATGAAGATCCAGGAAACTTACCTGACTCGTTGTTTTTCAGCATACAGCTTTGCAGTAGCGGTTCTTAAGCCTTTTGGGGAGTCTCGAACCCCTTTGAGAATCTGGTGGAAGGTATAAATCCTCTCCTGAGAAAAACACTGAATTACCCTGCATTTTGTAATTACCTTACCAGGTTCTTGAATCTTCTGCACCTCATCCATGGACTTCAGGTTAAGAACACTGTAGAGATGGGTGACGATCCAGAGTCGTAAGAGGACCTGTTCAGTTGAGAAAATGGTGAAAGGCGAAGGGGCTGTCTTTGACTGTTGCGACATGTGGCTGTACCCTGGGGTGTCTGGGCTAACAGGCAAAAACACGAATTGGGCTTCTTGGCGAGACTCAGTGGAGGCCGGGGGTGATGACAATCATGGAAGTGTGTAAAATGAACTTTCCATACAGCGGTGCTGTTGCAGTGTAAGGTGTGTACTTGGGTGGAGATCATGACAAGAGGCAAAGAGCACATTTCCTTGTGGTCTTGGTTGTTCCACATAATGGGCATTGGATATCTGGAGTTTTCTTTCTTTTTTTTTTTTTAATTTTATTTATTTATTTATTTGACAGAGACACAGCGAGAGAGGGAACACAAGCAGGGGGAGTGGGAGGGAGAAGCAGGCTTCCCGCCGAGCAGGGAGCCCGGGCTCCGTCCCAGGACTCTGGGATCACTACCTGAGCAGAAGGCAGACGCTTAACGACTGAGCTACCCAGGCGCCCCATCTGGAGTTTTCTTTGCATAAGTCATCTTTTTAGGGCAAAAATGCTGGAATCCAGTGAGAGCAAATGAATCACGTTATGAAGGAGAGACCTCTGTCTGGAAGTGAGAGGAACAAGGCTTTTGTGTCTTCAGCTAGAGTCTCTCCCTCCCCGTGTGAGAATTGGCCCTATTTCTTCTCAGGAATGGCGACGTTGCTCCTAACATTGGCTTTTCACCTGAAGACGGTCAGATATGCATCGTTCAAGTGGGTTTGCAGCTAGATTTATTTATTTTATTTATTTATTTATTTATTTATTTATCTATCTATCTATCTATCTATCTATCTATCCATCCCAGAGTGAGAGCATGTGCGAACAGGGGGAGGGGCAGGCAGAGGGAGAGGGAGAAGCAGGCTCCCCGCTGAGCAGAGAGCCTGATGCAGGATTCGATCTCAGGACTCTGGGATCATGACCCTAGCTGAAGGCAGATGCTCAATCGACTGAGCCACCCAGACATCCCTGCATCTAGATTTTTAAGGTGGCATTGTGTGGAGAAGCCCCCATCCCCGTTATTAAATTTTCCCGTTTCTCTAAGCATGTGCAGCCAACAGGGGGAGTAGT